CAAGTACGAGATTCGTCATTCTCGCATGTTGTTTGAATACGCCGTCAGCTAAAACTCGTAGTCGCCGAGCTTTCGAGTACGAGCATGCAAACAACGCGTGATAATGACGAATTTCGTATATGCTCGTACTCGTACTCGTAGTCGCTGCTAGAGTTCCCTATTGTTGTCTTCGGCTTCTGATTTAACATTTCACTAGCGCTAGCTTTCCTCTTACAGTCTATAATCTTATCAGCCTAAAGGCAATTCAGTATCATTTGTTGTTTTAGACAAATGTTTTTCATGGGGTATGTCTGGATTACGCATTCATTTTGGTTGAAATCCGCATATCGGTATAAAGTGAATCAAATGCTGTAAACCTGCAGTCATTTTCACTGATGACCTACCGGAGCTTAATATAATAAATTCTATACGAATGCATTCGTTTCAATTCGTTTCTGGGAAACATGGCCATCGGAGAGGTCATACTTACGAGAGTTGTGTAGATCACTCGAGGTTTCTTGGAAGACTGTGCTTGCCGCAACCTTGGATTTTATTCCATACCACGCGAAGACATTACCGTTTTCAAACAATGGTCCTTTGTTTGCCATTAATGATAAAGCATGGCCATCAATTTCATAGCTCCAAACATTAAGTCTACTTTGATGGCTATTGTGCGCCATACCACCATCTAAAATTTAAGTGACCATACTAGTGTACCTGCAAGGTAGGGGTTTCTGTAGGCGTTATAAGCGAATAATTATCAATTATTGGACGAGGTCGAGCAAAATATCGTGATTTGTCGGTGGCGAGCAGATCAATTATTTGGCGATGCCAAAGGCAGAGGCAAATAATTGATCTGCGAGCCACCGACAAATCACGATATTTTGCGAGAACCGAGTTCAATAATTGTTTTATCATTCACCACTCAATTTTCAATTCATTCACCACTCAATTTTCAATTTTGAGTTCGTTTTATCGGACAGTTCGGCAAAGCGAGTCGCCATGTTTATAAAATTGACATTAATGCGCATGCTCAGAGTATTATTTGCAGCTGAGTATTATTTGCACGCAGTTAACTGCAGGTGAATTAACCAATGAAAATTGAGAATACTATAAAGTGAATGATAAAACTACATAGGCTACGACAAGAATACGACTTGTTATCATTTCACCGGTAGTATTCTACGTAGTCTTACCCTTCATAGTTTGATTTGTCAAATTTAATTCTGCTAAAAGCAATCCCGATCTTAATTCCTCTAAAATATCACTCACGTTCCTACTGATAAATTTCTTCCTATAATTAAATATTTTATCGCAGGATATGTATACAGTAAATAAATAGTGTGATTTTTTTCAGGAGAAGGCAGTAAAAAAGGAAATTTTTAGCGTCGAAGGGCATTGTCGGTTGTTGCGTGCAGTTGTTTGCGCATTGTTTTTAAATTCTCTCACGTCTCTACATGTGCTCTTACTCTTAGAAACACAGGGAAGTCCAAGCACGCTTTTTACATCCTTTCGACAGAACGGAAGAGAATAGAGATCAAGATTAACACTTCGCAAGATTAAAGTACGAGATTTCGACTTGACTCTGTTTAGCAATTCATTTTTCTTAGCCAGTCACATGTCAATAATGTTACTAGGCAATTACAGTTATAGGTGGATTATTTTTAAAAACATTAAACTGTGGCTTAATTTTATAGTTTACAAATCGAAGCAAGTATAAACTGATAAACTATACATTTCGAATGCGCATCAAATAATGAGTTATATCCTGACAGTACTATTATTACATTTATATCACGGATAGATGAGTGAACATGAAAACTATAGTGAAACAAATTATAGTAGAAAGGTATACAAACAAACGCAAATGGTAAACAGAATATGGGCCGAAATATCGCCCCTGATCTTATAGAATTTTGTTACAACCTCGTAACTGATATGTTTCTTTTTTGTCGCACGATATGAAAACAACTTACAGCCAAACCACATGTGCTGAAGTTAGACGAATTCATGGATTATGCGCATGTAGCTGCGCAAAACCACAATGCTTCACGACCCTACAAATTTTCTTTTTTCTGCCTACTAAAATTAATATATGAAGAATAAACACTAACGCTAAAATCCGACGACATCTTGACTCCATTATCAAGGTTTAATAAAGTGAAGTGAATTATAAAAATTACAGCATTTAAACAAACTCAGAATACAAAAGGTATTGTTATGATTACACACACACACAAGATCATATAAAGACTTTAGATTTAATAGAGTCAGACTGTGTGTTCAATTTTGGGTGACGGTCACGGATGAAAAGCATCTCGTATATCAAACAATCAAATTTGCCTCGACACCTTTTAAGGATCTTAAAATATTTCTTAATGTCTGGTTTAGATAAATTATGATCGCACTTCATGTGGCGTCCAGTTGCAGATGCCTCACACTTGTGTTCTTCCACGCGTTGATGCAGATGACGAGTTGTGTAACCAATGTAATCTGTATCACACAGATCACACTTAAAGGAATAAACTAAGCATTGATTACTGACAACTTCAGGTTTATTTTCGCGGTACTTCAAGCTATTTTCGATCTTCACACTCGTAAGTACTGGTAAAAAGTTAACATTTCCAGTTTTAACACTGAGGTCTTTAAGTTGTTTGCGCAACACATTCGCCGATTTTTTATCTTTGTAGGGCAAAACTAAACGGACAGTTTTTTCATGGTGTTGTATTGGTGTACTATGGCCGTGATCACTTGACTGTACGATAGCGGAGTTAATAAAGTTCGTTACGATTCTGTCGAAAAGTTTTTCCGGGTACTTAAGTTGTTTAAAGGTGCGTTTGAGTTGTTCACATTCATCTAGAAATAAAATCCAACTAGACGACAGACGATAAGCTCTGTTTATCATGGTCTTGAGAAGTCCAACTTTGTAACGTTGATCAACATGGCTCTGATAATGCAACAGTAGCCCTTTGTCGGTTGACTTGTGGTAGACTCGAGTTGATATTGAGGAGCCATTTTTATGTAATAACATACCGAGGAAGGGGAGTTTACCCTCAGTAGCGATCTCCATGGTAAACTGTAGGGAAGGGTGAACGTTGTTAAGTTTGTCAAGAAAAGCAATAGCAGCTGATTCACTCGGCATTTTGGTAATTGACAACATATCGTTGTAAAAATCAGGTAGATCTAATTACATTTCAACGTGACATAAGAAAGCATTAGCCATAAGGGGACCTAGAGGAGATCCCATACCCACCCCATCTTTCTGTTCATAGAGATCACCGTTGTATTGAAACAATTGATCTTTTGTAGCCAGTTTAAGTGTGATCTGTATGATACAGATTACATTGGTTACACAACTCGTCATCTGCATCAACGCGTGGAAGAACACAAGTCTGAGGCATCTGCAATTGGACGCCACATAAAGTGCGATCATAATTTATCTAAACCAGACATTAAGAAATATCTTGTGTGTGTGTGTGTGTAATCATAACAATACCTTTTGTATTCTGAGTTTGTTTAAATGCTGTAATTTTTATAATTCACTTCACTTTATTAAACTTTGATAATGGAGTCAAGATGACTCCGAAACGTCGGATTTTAGCGTTAGTGTTTATTCTTCATACATTCTCAAAATGTGTTCTACTTAAAATTAATATTGTTGAATATTTAACTTGAATGGCGTAAACTCACTCAGCGAAATTGATAAACTTCATCCAGTTAAGGAACACATTTACATCAATTTTGAGCCTCTAAAATGCTTTCAGCAACGCAAATTAACCAAGATTTAAGATGGGTTAGGCATTTTTATCCCTCGGTCAGCGTTAACCGGCTTCTTAGCAACCATCCACTGAGCATTATTAAATAAAACAGCATAGCACTTACGTAAAGAAAGTCTTCCTTCTGCATGAAAGGTAATATTTGAAGCTACATCATGCATAATGGAGACCAAGGAACCATCGAGATATATCTTCCAGTGGCCAGTATCGCTCGACCATGTCGTAGACAAATGGTGCCAGTATGCTGGAGATTCATTCCAAAACCATGGAATCTTTGCCTTCCTTTTTAATTATTAAACGATTAGTTAATTCACGGTGGTCATATTCGGCAAATTTTCGCCCAGTACATAGGGCTCAGTCTTCTTCAGCAGTCTGCGCATGGAAATTAGAAGCTTTTCGTTTTACGCACTGCTCTCAATTTTATGTAAGTTTTCCGCTCACAATATATGAACCTGCACGAGTGTGAGAAAGTTTAGTTAATTTTAAACACCCCATGTTTATAAAACGAATGCGTGGACGCAAATTCTCAAAACGTTTAAAGGCAATGTAATTCTCCTTTCAAGATGTGTAAATTACTAAAGAGTCTTCAAAATATAAGTCTATTAGACTGAGAATGAAACGAGCATGGAGTGTAAACCCCTAAAAGCTTAGTAGTTTCCAAATTTAAATATCTCAAATTAAAGTAGAGTTGCTTGGAACGTTTCAAGAAATATTGCAAAGCGTACACGGCTAATGTGAAGCGAGTAAATAAGTCTTTACGGTGGAACACCACATGCATATTTATTTATAGAATTGAAAATATCGAAATCTCTTAACAAACTTAATACCTGTCTTTTAGAGTCTAGTAAAAAGCACAGGCATCAGTGTGCCAAGTATGCTTTATTTGTTTCAGAGCTTAGTTTATGGTAGAACAGAGGGAGAGTTTTTGCCGCAATATACTCAAATTAACTTCGGTGCGATTGCGCAAAAAAATTATTTATATCGGATTTATATCTAAACTCCGAAACGACTGCTGAAACGCGAACTTAGCAGATGAATGTCTGTGCTGTGAACTAGAATTAGAAAAGTCATACATTTCTACTTCAACATATTTCAATATTTCTAATTTTTAACTATGCAAATGGTCTTTTTTGGTGTACCACTTTAATAGCACAATTCCTAAATATAGCCTAACTGGAACTTCCCCATTCCCCCAAACCCATCGCTGAGGAGGTAATCGGCGATTATGACGCATGACATCTTCCCTCATTTACGCAAGACACAACTTATGAAAGTTAAAATTCAATGGGGAAAAAAAACTGTCAGACTACTTCATTCTAATGGCGTTTCCACAGAAAATACCAGAGGGTTATTAAGACAAAATTATTTGTCAGAAAAACTTGCCTTGCAAAAGTTCCGATTATTTTCAAGATGAAATATTCTGCAGCAAAATAAAGTGATACCAACTTTGTTCCGTTAGCATTCCTGTAATCAACATATTCCATAGATTTTGAGTCATATTGCGTCCTCTCTTCGTGTTTTAACCAGGTTGTTATTGTGAAAGCCTCAAGACTTGAAATATTTCCTAAATTTATCTTGTTAACGTCGATTGATGATGGTTTTACCATGATAAAGTCATAATCAGGATCTAGAGTAAAAAAAAGTTAGATGCATGCCTGACGTCAGACGAGCCAGTTTTCAATTATTATGTACCTACGAACAGTTTCCAAAATGTGTGCCTAAAACCACTAAGTATAATTACTATTCTATTTGCTTTGAGAAATTTCAAAAATTAATACTCGACTTACTCTTTCGAAGCGGCTTACACGAACTTATTAGTTCTATGCCAACCACACAACCATGATAGCTGTCCTTAAGGGAGCGCCAATTAATAACATTTCCAACTTCGTCAGTTAAACAGCTTTGTGTAGTGGAATTTATATCGAGATCCGCAGTAGCAGACTTTAAATCACTCCATACATTTAATTGACTCAATTTGCCCGAGAATGAACTCTCGATAACAAAGACACCATCATTTTTCAACGGTTTGCCAGAAGAAAGACCATCACCACTGTACACTAATATACCATCAAGAGAAACACTGTATATTCCAAGAGACCATGTTACCGCCACGTGATGCCAGTAACCGTCATTGATTGGCGGAATAAAGAAATACCTTAAAAATAGCATTAAAGCCTTGGGATTTGCTTCGCCAAAGACTTAGTAAAAAGTAACTAGGTTGAACATGAACAATTTGTCTTCGTAACAGGTATGAGTAACTGACTGACTTTCAGTATACCTCCCCCCATAACTGTATAGAAATACGGCAATTTTCCCGCCCAACTTGATAGGCGATGTATTGAGATTTGTAATTGAATCGAATTATAACATTAGTATGAAATATTTTTATTGAGTTATATTATAAAAAAATATAAAAGATTTTTCCCTGTGTTTCTATTATAGTTATAGAAACACTTGTGGGAGTTTGGGAGAACTCGAAATAACGTGGAAAAACTCGCCCATTATATTTCTCGTTTTCCCAACCACCCACGCGTGTTTCTATATAGCTGTATAGAAAAAGGGAAAAAGTTTTCTATTTCCTAAAAGTTTGATATTGAGTCAAACGATTTTTCTTTAAGGTACAAGGAAGAGGAGTTATTTATCTTTTAAACAACATTTTTTTATGCCATAATAGCGAGAAAAGCAATGACAGTAATTTTATGTTAAAAATTGCCCGTCGAAAACTACAACATTCTCTCACCGCCTGGAATTTATTTCGACATGAATCTGACTGGCGCAAACACGCATGATTAAAAAGCCTATGATAAATTCAAAAATTTCAAATTTGCTTCGTTTTGTCAGCCGTTTTTCAAGCAGGCAAGTTTGATTTCGGTCACTAATTTTCACTTAATGGTAGGTTAAATTTTGAGATATATATTTTATTATTTCTTTCTGTTATGAACTAAAGAAAGGTATATCATTGGGAAGCAAAATTACAGCTCTTTGATTTCGATTATTAATTAATTTCGAGGACAACTCTATTGTTATTAAGTGATCAAACACGCGAGGATCATGCAACTCATCAATGAACATTGATTAAAGAAGTTGCAATAGATTTCTCTTCTATTTTCCATGTTTCACGTCACTCACAAAAATACTTTGTAAATGTGAAATTTGCATGAATTTCCATAAAAAAGACAAACCACTAAAGGGTTAAATAATTTCCCATAATTTTCTGCCTTTGGCCGTCAGTGGTTACGTCGAGTGGCGAAATTTATTTTCCTTCAACCTTTTTAAATGGTAAAAACGGATAAAAAGCAATTTCGTTATGCAAAATGCATAAAACAAATGCATATATCTCATACTTTTTAAGCGATTGAACTTCAAGGATTATCCTTTCTTTCTTCATTTTAAGCATAAATTCCTCGGCACCTTCCCTCGTTCTGTAGGAAAAAACTGTAATTTCGTCTGCTTTCAGCGTATTCATCCAGAACATTAGTGTCATGTTAGACATCTTCGGCACATTTTGGTCAAGTAGAGTAAAGTTTTGAGCGCTTTCAAATTTCAGATCATAATCTCCTGAAAGTGGATGTAAAAATCATATATGCATGGTGTACGAATTCAGTTACCAAGGTCGGCAAACAGTGCCCGGGGATTTTACATCCCATTTTACATCTCATCCTAGAAGTCTGCAGTGGCGTAGCCAGCATCGATAATTGGGGGGCCCATATTCATATATTCATGTTAACAGACTGTAAAAACAATTGATTTGAAAAGAAATTAAACATGCGTATCACGAATATATAAATATTGCCCCCCCCCAATTATCGTTCTGGCTACGCCACTGGAAGTCTAAGACACAAAACTCGACGCAGACGGGTAACACGTCATGATATAAATTCGGTAAACCATATGTTCTTCGTCTTAATTTCTCCGTCCAACTTTCCCGTTCATGCAACGACGAAGAATATGGTCTTTGTCAGAAAACTCGTCTTAAATTTATATCTGACGAATAAATCAGACAAATTTTTGCCCAAAATAGCTATAAAAGACTGGTAATTAAGCTTTGCGGAATACATTTGGATACAAACAAGTTACCCGTCTGCGTCGAGTTTTGCGTCTTAGATGGAAATCCGTTAGCCAACTCGCAGACTGAATTGACGGGCCGGAAATTTAACGCGGAAATTTTCCCCGTTTAATTTCCGGCACCTTAATTCAGTCTGCGAGCAGGCTAGAAATCCGTCTTCTAATATAAACTCGGCCTTTATCAAGGGCGACGCGAGAACGATAAATATATTCCTGTATAAATATAAGCAAACTAGGCAAATATTTCTATAATAGGCTTACGGTCGTTTTCCACTTCAACCGTATCCTAGCAAAACGTAGCGTATATTTTTAGAGTCTTCAGTTCTGGTCGAATACTCGGAAACATATAGAAATACGTTACCTTACGCTACGATACTGTTGAAATGGAAAACAGGCCTTATTCTCAAGCCGTAAAAACAATTTATTTCTGTAGAGGTTTTCCTTAGTCTTTATTTAGTACATATTTTACATGCTACACGCCTAGTCAGCTCGTTCCCAAAGACCCTAAATCCCTCGTGGTCAGGTTAAAAAGTTTAAAATTTGTATGAGTTCAACTCTAACACAACGCTCTGAATAAATGTCTTAGAAGTTATATACATATAGTTTCTATCAAGTTCAATGACTGTTCGAATTGTCCTCCGTTTCACCACTGCAGTTGTGCGCCATATCTGAGAGGATGCCTTCGCGCTCGTCGGGGGTAGCGATGTACCTCGGGAGCTTCAAACTCAGGTACCTCGGGTTGACACACTGGATCAGCGAAATCCTCGTCATCACTCGACTCTTTATCGTGATCTTGGGTCGGTGCTTTCTTAAAGTACGATGAGTTGCGGGTAACTGTTCCGTTTCTATTGCTTGCTGTCACCATCGAACCTTTCTTTGAAATAACAACGTACGGCTCGAGTCGGTAAGGCGTATCTCGCTTTCTCTTTGAATCGTCGCGTTTGACGAACACTGTGTCACCTTTCTCAATTGTGGATGGTTGAACATACGCTTTGGCGTCGGCGTATTTCTTCATTTTCGATTTTGCGTTACGATCATTTTCTCGTATTGTTGACTCTTGTTTGCTTGCTTTAAACTGCGGTAACTTCGTCTTCATTGCTCGACCAAATAGCGCTGTCGCGGGGGGAATTTTTGTTGTTGTGTGGGGTGTTGCCCTGAAGTTTCTGACAAAACGGTACATTTCTTGTTTCCAATTCTTGCGCTCGACATTCGCAGTCTTGATTACTTTCTTGACCGTTCGTACGAATCGTTCGACCTCGCCATTCGCTCTTGGCCATCGAGGGGTTACCTTCCGGTGTTTAAAACCGAGGGTCTGTGCAAAAGATTGAAATGCACTGCTGTTGAATGGCGGTCCGTTGTCCGTCTTGACCACGTCTGGTATGCCAAATTCAGAGAATACTTTGTCTACTATTGGAATAACCGTACTTGCTGAAGTAGACTTGACAGTTTCGACAACGGGGTATCTGGAGTAATCATCCGTAATTATCAGAAGTATTCTTTGGTTGGAAGCTCGGCAAAGTCCATGCTGACTTCTGACCAGGGAGCTTTTGGAAGCGGAGACATCAGGAGCGGTTCACGTTTGGACTCAGGTGTTGAGACCAAGCACGGGCAACATGACTGGACTTTCTTCTCCACCATTTTGTCAATGCCGGGAAACCACACCTTTTCGCGTAACAATGATTTCGTTTTGACCACTCCCTGATGACCTTCGTGGGCTAAGTTGATTACGTGATCTTGTAGCTTCTTGGGTATAGCTATTCTTGTTCCACGAAGGATAACCTGAGGATTCACGCTTGCTGTCAGTTCGTCCTTTACTTTCTGCCATGCTGCAAAATCTGCTGTATCTATGCCGGGTTGCTTTGATCCTTTGTGCCAGTTGCCTGTTCTTATCGCCGTCGTTATTGCTTGTAGTGTTGCATCGGTTTTGGCAGCGTCTTCGATCTCTTGAACTGTTAGCGCGTTTGGCGTTGAAGTTATGGCGATATAATTGACGTACTCTTCGGCGATCTTTTCTTCTCGGCTGACAGCAGTGGATTGTTTCGAGGGATGTCGTGATAGGTAATCGGCCGGGTTTCCTTCGCCTTTCCGGTAGTGGACTGTGATCTGATACGGCTGGAGACCGAGGGCCCATCTCTCAATTCTCGGAGGGGGTTTTGAGCTTGGGTTGCCAAAAATGGAAACTAGGGGTTTGTGATCCGTGTAGACTGTGACAGGTTTGCCGTAGATATAAAGATGCAGATGTTCGCAGGCCCAAACGATGGCGAGGGCCTCGCGTTCCGTCTGGCTATAGCGTTGTTCGGTTGCAGTCAAGGACCGACTTGCGTAGGTGATGATGTGGTTGGTTCCGGAGTTTTTCTGCGAGAGAATGGCTGCTAGGCCAACAGGACTTGCATCAACCGAGAGTTCGGTGTCCTTGGTAGGATCGAAGTAGGCTGTGACCGGTGCTTTGACGAGGGCGTCTTTGAGCTCGTTAACTGTGTGATCATGCTGCTGTGTCCACTCCCAGGGTTGGTCTTTGTGGGTTAACTTGCGTAACGGTTCGGTCTTCGTTGCGTAATCTGGAATGAACCTGGCACAATAGTTGGTCATTCCTAGTAGACTTCGAACTTCGGATGCGGAGGTTGGTGTTTGCAGGTTGGTGATTTCTTCAATCTTCTTGGGGTCAGGTGTGATACCGTCTCCAGAGAAGACATAGCCAAAGAACTCGACTTTGGTTTTGCCGAATTCACACTTGCGTTTGTTGAGGGTGAGGCCACGTTCTTTGAGCCGCTGAAAAACTGCCTAAAGGCTGTGATCATGGTCACTCTGTGTCTTGCCAAAGACCAAGATGTCGTCGCTAATATTGAATGCTCCGGGGATGCCTTCGAGGGTTTCTCGGATCACGTTTTGAAAGATTTCAGCCGCACTCGAAAAGCCAAAATTTAATCTCCTGTATCGCATCAAGCCCAGGTGTGTTCCAAACGTAGTGATATATCGTGATTCAGGTGCCAACTCGAGTTGATTGTAGGCTTGGTTGAGATCCAGTTTGCGGAATATTTTGGCTCCGTTCAAGTCACCGATGATCTCCTTGATTGTAGGTGTCACATGACGTTCCCGCTTAATGGCTTGATTCGCCTGGCGCATATCTACACAAACGCGTACTTGTCCAGGGGACTTTGGTTTAGGCGCCACCACGATAGGCGATACCCACGGTGTAGGGCCTTCGATTCGTTCAACAACTCAGAACGGATTTTCGTCTTCTCCAGCATTTGTATTGGGCAGTGTTTCGAATATTTCGTTCACGCTTTCTCCAGCATAGTGCAACAAAAGAGCTCTTTGTCTTTTGGCGTCGTCTACAGCTAATGCTAGCAGAAGATTTCTGAAACGAGTGAGCCATTTCTTCCAGCGAGTATCGACTGCTCCGTCTGAGTGAACATCGAATTCAGCGAAATGCGGTAAAGCCACTGCCATATTCTCCCTTTTTCTTTCGATTTTGTTTGACTTGTTATTGTATGTATCAGTTTGTGTTATTGTAGGGACCTAGATCCCATATCCTCGTCGCCAATGTAGAGGTTTTCCTTAGTCTTTATTTAGTACATATTTTACATGCTACACGCCTAGTCAGCTCGTTCCCAAAGACCCTAAATCCCTCGTGGTCATCCGGGTTCCTAGATTAACCACGTGACTTAACTACGTATAATATCAATACACTACAATTTCAAAGGGAATAAATATTGCAAAACACGTCAACATGCATGCATAATATACAAGATCGTATAGTTGGACGGTCTAACTGGAGGATGCATATTCATATAGTGCTGTACTCATATTAATCATGCACAAACCGTAGGAACAAAAACTTTTAAAAGAAATCATCCGGGCATAAGATGATTGATATGCTCCCCCGAATTAAGCTTCAAGCTACGGCTCTAATACAAATAATAAAATACCTTTTTTGGTGCATCGTTCATTGTATACCTGTTATAAAAAGAACACTCTGTGTTATGCTTAATAGGCCAGCTTCTTGTAGGTGACTAAGTATTTTTATTTCATCGATTATTCTAAGACGCATTACACAAGAAATATAGCTACATTTTGCACATGCAAATTACGGTCTGATAATTAAAAAATAATTTACAAGCTGCTTTGTCTCTTTCGCATTTAAAGTAAGAGAGCTTAATCTTTTACGCCCCTGGTACACGGTGCAATTTTTCTTTCAACTTGCAATGCCGGCAATTCTACTTTATTATTCAAAATGTAAGAGTTAGTAGTGTCTATGGAGTCTAATAGAAAAAATATTTTCATAATTTCCAAATTTGCATTTTTCGACAGTAGAATTGCATTGCAAGTTGCATGAAAAAATTGCACGGCGTAACAATACGCGAGATCTTTTTCCGCTTGTGTAGTAATCCTATTAATATAACCTCCGCCCATACGCAATTGCATCTTGTCAAATGGCAGAAAGACGCAAAAAACGCCATTAAATATTCTGAATAATATGGCCTCCTAATTATCGAGATGCTGGCTCGACATTGTATTTTACACGAAATGCAAGGCCAATAATGGTTCAAAACGCGAACACATTAGTAACAAACGATAAGCTAAATGCTACTTTACCTTCTGTGACTCTTTAAAATAAATGTAATCGTAAAAACTATTCTCTTGCAACTGTTTCGACGTATTATGGATCACATCGTGTAACATCTCACAGACACTAGCCTCAGCTTGCGGTGAACTTTCCTTGTAGTTCAGAGATCTACAACATGGTTCTTTTATGCACGATGATATGCATTCAGCTTTGCTCGAAACGTTTGTCTTCTTCAGAATTGAACTGTTGAGTCGGAAACCTGTTAGGCGTGAATCATCTAAATTGATTTTAATAAATAATTTGAATTCGTCTTTATATAGTTTTTCGTAATTTAGTTTTGCATGAAAGCGCATAGGCCATAAAAAATTCTGTTCCGCGCAAATAATTCCCCCTACTGTAAAACAGGCCCAAAAGCCCCAAATAGTTAACTTTTATGTAGTAGTTGAAACAACACCGCTGTTTCTTTCAATAATATAAAATACAATGTCGTTCAGCAGCCATAGGTTTTACAGGAACTCAGTAGCGTATCCGGAGCGATATTTGGGACGGGTGGGACATATTCATATATTCGTGATACGCGGGATTAATTTCTTTTCAAATCTATTGTCTTTACAGTTTGTCAACTTATATATATATATATATATGGCCACTCCACTGCACTGCACGAACTCTTTTTTATTTGAACCAAAATCTGCGAGAGCTATTGCCGGAATATCTCAATTCGTAGGACTAATAATATTGACGGAAACAATTCCCTTTGTCAATTTGGCCGGGCAATCTGCATGAGTGGTGCTAGTTTTTCTAACGGAAAACTTGATATTGAATATTTTAGGCTGTTGTTGGACGATAATAATTTAAACACGTATGTGATTTTAAAATTGTAGTAAAAATCATATAGTATGTCAATCTTGTTAATTTTTGTCAGGGAAGAAAGAAATCTCATAAGCTAGTTTGCATTTCTATTATTTTATCCTTTGCGTTACCTGATATTTGTGCTGTGTGAGGCTGGAAAGTTGGTGGGACAAAATCTTCTTTCTTCTGAAAAATATGAATAAAAATTATTTGGGATATTCGATCAGCTATACATAATAAAGCGAAAATAATTCACGACATACATGGATAAATCGTGGTGTAAAAAAGGCGCAGACAAGAGAATAAATTTACATAAAACCTCATATGGCTATAGTCGTGTCATAAAAGTCGTGAACCTTCATAAAATGTACGAATTTTTTAGCCATAAAGATAAGCGACAGCCTAATTAAGACGAGATCGTGTAAAGCCTCTAGTAAAATAAGCAGCGGCTTAGTTTCTATTCACGAAGTACATTAATTCAATTTGCGTTATACAAATGTTCGGGAACCTATTTATAGATGCCACTTTTTAAATTGTTGATTATACTCCTCGTGTAAGTGACCGCAATCGCTCTAATTTAGCAGTCTAAAGCTTAGTTCTACCAAAGACGAATTTGGGCCGTTCCTGTCCGGTTCTTCCGTTCACACGGCAAAAACGATAAATTAATCTTGAGCGGTTCTATACATGTTCACATGAGAAAGCTGGACTAATTCCTACGTGGCATTCGTTCAGTCCCGCGTGAACGCAACGCTATAAGGTATCCTAAAAAGCTTAGTTTTTTTCATGCTATTGTATAAAGACATCTTAAATTTCCCTGGTTTCATTATTTATCGGTTTGCTAACGCTACCTGACAGCGAAAATTATTGCGGGTATGCACAATGATTAACAAACGAAAATGCACATGTGTTGTTTGATTTAATATCATGTAAACAGAACACCGTATGAAATTTTGACATTATACATAGAACAAACTCATTCACAAGGCCATACACCATGTAGTTATACCAACAAGAAGACGTAAAAATGAGCTTTGAAAAGATCCGTTCCTCTATTTTCTCACCTTTTCGACTTTGTAAAGATGGTTGTATTCTGGGTTGCGTATGCCAGATATGTCAGTAAGCGTCGAATTATTGAGTTCACAAAGACCTTTTAGCTTTCCAGAAATTTTGAAATTCACAGACGCGCATGATTCATTTTCCAAGCAATACATGACACATTCCACCTCATCTCTTGCCTGCTTTTTGTCGATGACATGATTTTTCAAGTACCTTTGTTCAATTTTTTGGAAGACGGCTTGACTTAAATCTAGGCATTCTCCTGGCTTAGGTAATTTTGAAATGAAAAGTAGCGCGAAAATGACCATTAATAAAGCCATTGAATTTCAGGAAGCACCTCTGGGAACACGTCGTTGCTTTTAAGACGCCAAGTTAAGCGGAGCACCAGATGCTCATTGTGCTTATAAGCTAGAAACAAAAACAGTCAGCTTGGAAGCCATATATGGTCAAAATCTTGCTGAACAGGACACTGGCTTCTTTCTATTAACATGAATAATTATTCAAACAAAGAAAGGATTATTTGCAAAATAGCTTTAAAAGGACGTTAATAATTTAACTTTACTAGGTTGTTTTGACTCTATCAATTGGACTGTGTCACGAAAAGAGTTAGCTAAGAAGCCATATATGGCTAAAATCTTGCAGAACAGGACACTGCCTTCTGTGAAAACATAAAGTCTATTAACATGAATAATTATTCAAACAAAGGTATATTTCAAAATAACTTTAAAAGGAGTTTAAAAGGATTATTTCTCTTTGGGTTGTTTTGACTTTATCAATCGGATTGCGTCAGTGACTGATTCGTGACCAATTTTATACATTTTAAAACGAACTTTACCCAAATAAATCGCACGACACACCCCATTTTTTGGCAAAGCAAAGCTTAAGTGGTCCCGCCGACGCTATAAATAAATGCTCAATATTCAACATTTCTGCACAATGCTAACAAAATGTAAATATTCAACACTGTTGCCAGAGACGTGTCGATAATTAAAGCCCAATATAGTGCTTTTAGTAAAGCCATAGATGACAATTTAAACAACAGCATTGTGAGACCATAATGCACGCTTGCAGCTCAATCTTGTCGAAACGTCAGTGAATTGCTTATACTTGAAAAGTAAACTAATTGTTCCTCAGTTCTTTGCAATTGACAATTTTATGTTATATTTTTAAGCTGCATTGTTAATGAAAAAAATAGATCTTTTTGAATCAATGTCTAGTTTTCGGTCTCGTTTACAGATTTTTGGGTACAATTTGCCGAAAAGTGTACGTGACCGTATTTATCGACGTCAAAGTTTTGTCGCCCAAGATCTAGAGTTGTGGTGCACAGCTCGAAATCTTTGGCTAATTATCCGATGCGCAATTTGATTTCGCTTGCATGATAAGGCAATTCCTCCATGCAAGAGGAAGAAATAAACCGTTCTTTTGATGCTGTTCGATTAATTTTAGGTTTAATTTGCTTAGGAATAATATGCTTAATACATGTAGATTCCGGTCCATTTTAATAATAGGGACCTTAAGATCTACGACGTCGACCTCGACGTCAACCTCATATCCGAGTAGAGCACTAGGACGAGGACGCGGTCGAGCGTCGTTTTACTTCCGTTTAAGATTCACAACGTTGCAATTGACAACGTTGACGTCATATTGTAAACAAACAAATTTAAAAATTTCAATTAAAAAAGGTATTTTTCATCATGTAAATGAATTTTAAACAGTTGCTTGAACTCATAACAGTTTGTTATGAACTCGGAGATATAGACGACGTTGAGTTTGCAATTCTAAACCAGTTGTACACGCCGAAAAACTTATATTTACAATACGAATCATATGGGCGATTCAAGCTTGACGAATTGGGGGAAGACGAGTGTTTTGCTGAATTTCGGTTCAGAAAACCTGACATTCCAGATCTAGCTGCAGCTTTGAGGATTCCTGAAGTATTTTACTGCCCACAAGGAACGATATGCGACGGAATAGAAGGCCTTTGTCTCATGCTTCGGCGTTTGGCTTATCCTTGCCGTTTGAGTGATCTGGTTCCGCTGTCAAGCGAAATCTCTGACCTGTGCGAAATCTCTGACCTCGCGTGACCGGCCAATCTTTATAATTTATATTACATTTATCCCCGAGCCGGTGCGGAGCACCGTGCGAGGGTACTAATTCCGCCCGGAGATTAGGAATTACACCCGGGACCCGGGAGAACATAGCGGAATCAAAAGTTGCCCAAATGTCATGGACGTTCAATGGTCATGGTACTTGTGCGCATGCGCGAAATGCGAACGAGTGTAGACTGGTAATCAGCAACTTCCTGATTGGCTAAGACGAAACGTTTGTGTTTCAGTGAAAAACGTCAGCAATTTAACTGTCATTTTGCAAACTATTTTTTAAGAAAATGTTTCGAAAACAAAATATGAAATTTGGAATAAAATAACAGATAAAACACTGGGAAGAGTTTAAAATATTATCAGAACTGGAGGAATTAGCGGTGAAAAGGAACAACTCGATTATAATCCTTGAAATGGTAGGAGTCTATTTTGTTTATTTCGAGGTTTATTTCGTGTTTGCTGTACGAATACATTTTATGACCTTGGTACAGTATGTCGTTTTGCTCGGTTTTGCGAAGACGTGACCGACTATTTAAGGCTTTACATCATCGTTTTAACTTCCAAAAGAGTCCTTAAAAGTGTAATTCGGAGTTTTAATATAACAAATATCACTTTAAATGTTTATATATAGCCGACTACAATCACTGCATGAATTTAATAATCGAAAAACAACATTCGACGTTCACTGCTTGGTTATTTATATTATTTGGGCTGTTTTGATGATTTGAAGGTTTAGCTATAATGAATTTTAACTAAACTGTGAAAGTCTATAACTTAATGCAACGGAAAGCAGCAGGAAAACGGGTGATTTCACTTCACCTTTACGACTGTCAACTATGTTTGTTTCCGAAATATTTGAAACATCAGCTATCGGCTTTACATTTAGGACATTTCATAATATTGAAGGTTAAGTCTGGCTAGCTCAGGAAATATTTTGCTTCCTTTGAAATGGCGAGGGGTTGCTGCATGCATGTATTTCTAGTATTTCATATTAAATGTTATATGTTCTAATAGTAAGTATAAAGTATTTCTATTTATAAAGTATTACTTTGTTCTCAAAGAGTATGTAAGACAATGTAATTTTCAGCTTTGGTTTAGGAAATATTTGGCAAATTAATGTTTGAAATTAATGTGACTATAGTCTATATTTGGCCACCTACATGTATATTGTATATTAAATATAAGTCGTGTGTGAACTGCAAGTTTTATATGTGATACTATACCTAAATAGCCTATATAATTGTCCACATGACCACATAGGTTTGTCGACATGTGTGGTCAACATGTGCACATGCATGTACATGCTCAATTTATGTCCACTGTCCAGACGACCAGACCTTTGACATCAACAACTTGAATGTAAAAATAATAATATTGAGATATTTAAGTTGATATGTTGAGATATTCAAGTGTTGTTCTTTAGTAATTAACACACAGATCACAATGTTGTCAGACAGCAATAATACTATTCAGGACATTCACGATAGTGATTTATTAACATGTGCATGATGGCATTATTTATACTTTCCACAATAACATTAAAGAAATATTCAAACTCATTACTATTATCATCTTAATTTCTTGCAACTGCACTTACATAATTATTTACATCCTGGGGCCGTTGTATAAAAACGTCGTTAACTTTAACTATGATTAGCGCTAATCATTGTAGTTAAATCCTTAACTATAATTAGTTAACTACACGACTTAACTGCGTTGCACAAAACGTAGTTAGTGGGATGATTAACTAATCACGTAGTTAACTTGCGTGGAGCTTGCGTGGGGTTGTTATACAGAGAAATAACATGAAGTATTCAGATATTATTGACCGCTATTATTGATTTTAAACAAGACTGTGGACTCGTGTTTACAAAAATTGACAGTATTTTGATCTAAAATATTGGAAAAAAATGAATAAAACAAGGAAAAAATTCAAAATAATTCAACGAAAATGGCGCTCTTAATATAAAAAGGTCCCTTTGAGTCAAAATACTGGTTGCAGTTGAAAATGGAGATGGCTAATCTTTGCTAGGATCGCAATTTGGCATCGACACGTCTCCCGAAATATACTCCGTTGCTGCCCAAATGAAAAAAATAAAAGCATATTGAAAGTTTACAAGCTTCGACGGGGCCTTTTTTGGGTGTATAACGGTTGACAATCTTGGTATGTGTTGATTTTAATGTTTTCTCACTCCTCGAAAGCTCAAGACGCCATTTTTAACTACGATTTGGAAAGTTAACGATGCCCTTGAGGATAGTTAACTTTAACTACTTTTTAACTGCAGTTAAGGCTAACTACACTTTTATACAACCGGCTTAAATATGTGATTAAAGTTAACTACTTTTTAACTACTTTTTAACTGCAGTTAGCGCTAACTACGTTTTTATACAACCGGCCCCAGAGGTTAGTTATTTACAATTAAACTATATACACTTAATTTGTACAGGCACAAGTACTACATCTTTGATGAGGAAATTTGGCTCTGGCCGCAATAATACCAAGCAATATATTTCCAGTAAATCCAAAGCATAAGATAAATCACAAATCCACCCAAAGCCAAGTAAAAGCCAAGTAAATAATAACAGCTATATCGATGAAAAAATTATTTTAATGCCTTGCCAATACCATACCTTCATACACAAAGTTTCTTGAGAATTCAGAGAGCGCATGGAAGGCCTTTCTCCTCGAGCTCGTGGTCTTCTCCAAATTTTCTAAGTATGCTGGCATCTGGCGTCCTTTTATGAAATAACAAGAAAATTTTTTCATAAACAAACTTTATATTCTTTCATGGCATTCAAAATTCGAGAGAAAATAAAAGTCAGAGGCATCCTGACTAAATTGTGCGGTGTTCGATCACTATAAAATTCAAGTTCTACATACCTTGTGTTTATTTATCTGTGTTTTAGGCTTTGTATCGACACTGGCAGTATTAGTCCCAGTTAACAACGATTAAACGATTAAAAAAAAGCTTTTAAGACGCACGCTTTCTCTTTAGCCGAACACTTGCGAAATTTATGAGCAAAAATAAGTCACGCATATCACTGCGCATGTGCAGAAACGCAAAAGTCAAAGATTTCGCAGGTCAGAGATTTCGCGTCACACCGCGCTTTGGCAGACCAGTGCCAAAGCTATCGATGATCTTTAACGAAGTGATTTCGTTTGTTTACCAACGCCACAACCACCGTATTTAACAGTGGAACAATCTGCTGCTTAACCCCATACAACTGGAAAGATATGCAGAAGCTATCACTAACAATGGAGCAGCACTTACAAATTGTTTTGTGTTCGTTGATGGGACTGTGAAAGCGATTTGTAGGCCAGACGAACACCAAAAACATGTTTACAATGGCCACAAGAGGAACTATGCCCTGAAATTTCAATCTGTGGTAACCCCAAATGGCATGATAGCAAACCTTTATGGGCCTGTGGGTAAGTACGTGTATTTTTAACCTGATCTTTTTATTCTGAATTTGATTTTAACAAATCCAGCCCTTTAAAGGTTACTATGCATTTATCCAGTCTGACCAGTCATACTAAACCATACATTCTTGTCGGTTCAGTATGACCCGTCTGTCAATGTTGTAAAGACACCAGGAGAAGCATGGGGGGACAGGCAATAAGTGGGAATTAGACATGTGAATAGAAAAATAATTTATCTAAGTGTTAAATCGGTTTCTTTTTATTTGTAGAGGGAAAGAGACATGGTGCTGGCATGCTTCGATACTCGGGGCTAATGGAAATGCTGGAAGAGCATGCCTATGGCACAAATTGGCAACCAATGTGCATTTATGGGGATCATGCGTACCCACTCAGGACTAATCTACAAGCTCCATTCAGACTAGTACAACCTCATCCTGACATGGAGGCATTTAACAAAAGTATGAGTAGTGTTCGTGTCTCTGTAGAATGGCTTTTTGGTGACATTGTCAACAGTTTTAAATTTGTTGACTTTAAAAAGAACTTAAAAATTGCTTTAAGTGCTGTTGGAAAAATGTACACTGTATCGGGTATATTGAGAAATTGCATTACATGTATGTATGGCAATATAACATCTGAATTCTTCGACCTTCCACCACCTAATATCCAAGAGTATCTTGCTGAAGAATAATTCATGAAATACATTATGAAACATCAAGAAAAGTTTAAGAGGAGTTTTATTAGAAAATCGCGTATTGGGCGCTCAAAACTAAATTAAGATTTAATCGAATGAATCGGGTGGTAATATGGCGGCTGGTTCTTATATCGTGTGAGTACTTTACTGCGTGTTTTCACATAGTCAACTGTTGACTTTCGTTTAATTTTGTTAAATATCGTCAATATACTATTGGAATGATGTGTAAAATGATAAACAAGATGAATTCGACAGTAATTGAAGAGTCAAAAGCAACGCAATGTTACACAGAGGGGTTGGAAGGATTCGACTCTCACAGAAGCATGGAAGGTAGGCGTGCATTTTTGCGGATTTTTCATATTTTACTGCCATCGATAACAGTAAATCATACCTTGCAACATTCCTTTGACATTCTAGTTTTAATTTAAGGCATCTTAAATAAACTTAGCTTGGTTATTTCGGAGTAACTCTTGCTTAAATTTAGAAGCGATTCAAATTTTAAATTTTCACAAAATGCAGTCACTATAATCCGTATTTTGCTCTTATCTTTCAAGCTAAGTGTTCATATTATAATTTATAACGTCTAATGTTTAACTAAGATGTATTTTGTTACAACAATTGCCCTGGTCCCAAAATCTAGGCATGAAATTTATCTAAAAAGTTATTAATATTTTTGTGTAATTGAGTATAAAATGAATACATAAGTCTGTTGTAAAACTGTTGTTCACCACTTGTAAATTACTATAGAACTGTTTCCGATCAACCTAAGGCATATTTCATGATCTGCCCTAGGTATGCTAGTTTACAAAAAGCATCATTTAATTAAAATTGGAGTGGTACGCCGTGGAGCATTTTTCGACTTTTTAAAATGAACCAGATTTGTGTATTCTCAACCTGTATTTTTTGTACAGTCCAGCATTACTATCTTTTTATTGAATATAACGCGAAGCGCCATATTACAAGCTGTGCAAACATGGCTCTCGACCTATTTTACACTTCTATGATGATTTTAGATGGTTTGAAGATGTTTTGTTCCCAAAATCCACAGGTTTTCTATAAGCCATGATTTGGCCAATATGGAGGGAACCTTCACCTTAAGTTAAATGATTAAATATCAACTGAGAACCATTTCCGATCAACCTAAGGCGTATTTCATGATTTGCCCTAGGTATGCTAGTTTACAAAAACCATCATTTAATTAAAATTGGAGTGGTACGCCGTGGAGCATTTTTCGACTTTTTAAAATGAACTAGATTTGTGTGATATTCTCTACCTGTATTTATTGTACAGTCCAGCATGTATCTTTACAATGTATCTTTCTCCAATTGCCCAATATTTTGACAAATATTATTCACTTAAATATTATTACAAATGGTAAAATCCTAAAAATTACTGACTAAAGGCAAGGTGATTACTAGCCTATATTCAATGAGGAGACAAAATTACAATTTGTTTCAACACGAAACAGATTTGCTGTATACACAACATGTATTTACTTGAATAGCCCAGTGTTGCTATCTGATTTTTGGATATAAAATGAAATGTATACTGTAAGCTGTGCAAACAATTGGCTTTCAGCCCATTTTATATTTCTATGATGATTGTATAGGGTTTTATTTATCCTGGTTGAACACATGTTGCAGATCTGGAAGTTTGTGCAAATCAGGCCCTGGATGCTACATCCTACATGCCCTTAAGCCCTTTCTTGTTAACTCCAGACTTGTCTTGATAAATCTCTTATAGAGGAATTTGCCATTGCCACATATTTGACATATCTATTACTTTTTATTGCAGGCTTTGAAAAAACAGTGGAAACAACACAAGATTGTAAAAACACTATTTATTGCAATTAATGATATAATATTTTAACAACAAAGTCACATTACAATTTTATACCGGGTGTCCCAAAAAAAACTTTACCTCTTTGTCTTAATATAACTCAAAAACGAATAAAAGTCATTAAATTGAAATAAACTCCACTGCATGCAAGCAGGGCTAACTTAGATTTTGATATATAACACTAAATTATTGATGCGATATTTACGGAGATACAAGCATTTGATGTCGCAAGGTACTTTCAAAATCTGTGCAAAATTGACAAAAATCGGCTATTAAATTAATTCGAAACAAATACTTTAACTTTTACGTTTTTAACTTTAGTGATTTTAACTTTAAATGTACGCTTTTCCATTGCAAACTTACTCTTATATAAGAGCGAACAATTAAAGTTAAAATCGCTGAAGTTAAAAACTTACCACGGGAAGTGGCATGCAAGTATTTTCGAATTAATTTAATAGCCGATTTTTGTCAATTTTATATATCAAAATCTAAGTTAGCCCTGCTTGTATACAGTGGAGTTTATTTCAACTCAATAGCTTTTATCGTTTTTGAGTTATATTAAGACAAACAGGTAAAGTTTTTTTGGGGACACCCGGTATTACCTATACTTACAGCTGTATAATTTTGGAATGAATTGTCCCATGATTGTCCCACCTACATGTCCCATATTATGTACCCACCACACAAGGAATTCATTGTTAATAAAGTAGAGAGGGCAGTTGTTTTTGAAATAAATCAAAATAGTTTGACTTTCCCTTTCTTTGTGTTGTTTCTTGAATAAATTATTTACGGTCTTTTTTATTATTGTTGTGATAAAGATAAACTGATCTTCAAGCTACTACACATAACTATCCATCATCTCCAACGCAAATGCGAGTTTACTGGCATGTCCGTATCTGAAACTATTGTTCATATTTTCCAAGATGTGTTGGATACCTAGAAATAAAAACGTTGACATTTGAGATTTTTATTTTATCACAAGATTAACTCTAAACCACTAAAATCAGTATATTTCAATATGTTTACACTGTCAATTATTACACATTAGTGTGTGACTGTGACTGTGTGTCACTCCTTCGCACTAATAAAAATGTACGCATGGAAAATTATATCATTCAAAATACCAAAACAATTGAACGAACACTCGCCTGTTGTTCTTCTTTGTTTCAAGGAGCTTTTCGTCTTTTGAAATTCCCCAAAAGTTAGTAAAACAGCTGTCACTCAACACGAAAACTTTACCAAACTTGTAAATTCAAAATGGCTGCAAAGCATATTTTAGCGAAGGCCTGGTTGCTAACTTTTGAGCGATTTTGTGCAAAAATACGCGATTTTCTAAAAAATCTCCTCTTAATAACATAGTTCTTACAAATAGATATGATAGCCTAACAGACTGACATTCATTTTATTATTATTACTGTTATTTCTTGTTATTAGGGGCCATTTCACAAAGAATGTTCAAGTCATGGGTCAGAACAAATGCAGGCATAGGGGGTGTAGCAATTATTTTGCTTCCATTTAAAATTTTTAACTCTATTATATTAACTAATTTTTTTCATGAATGAGGAATTTAACAATGCTGTGAAATAATAGCTTTTTCCACTGAGATATACAAGGTGCACGCATACCTTTTTGCAAACATTGCAGATGTTTGAAAGGAATGGGGTCACCAATTCAGAAAATGCTAGACAAGGGGGGGAAATCCATCAGAAATCCTTTGTGAAAGGCCCTCATTTGTTTACCTTATGTAACAGTTATAATTTAACAAACAGTTGGGTAGAACACCGTAACATTTAAACATTAAAAAGATTCTTACCTATATTTCAATTATTTTTTTTGACAGTTTCTCAATGATTCCCATCAAAAGCTGCTGCTGTTGGGCTTGTGACTGGAAAAAGTTCATTTGCATTTGTTGCATTTGCTGTTGTTGCATTTGCATCATTTGCATTATATCTTGATGCTGCTTCTCTTCTCGCTCTATTTTTTTCTCTTCCAGTTCAACATCTTTCTTCCTCATGTCTAATTCCTTCTCTCGATACTCATTCTCATTATCCATTCTTTCCCGTAAAAATTTCAAAGCCTCTGACCCATTGCTTCTTCTCTTTTCTCATTCCCATCAGCTATTCTCTTCTGTGTTTCTTTTAAAGTCTCCATGGCCTTCAACCTCATATCTTCTGCATTTTCTTTGTCTTCTTGGTCTTTTTTTGTTCTTTCTGCTGTGTCTTGCATATACTCTTCACTATACTTTTCCTCACGTTCAAGGATTTCTTCCAGTAAGTCATCTAACTCTGACATTTCTGGAGAAATTCCAGACCCGCGCTCTTCAGCTGAAATTTTCTTTTTAAATTTTTCAGCCAAAAGTTTGAAACGATCACGAACAGATCTCTGAGATACAGAAAATTTTGGAACCTTCAAACCGTTCAAAGAATCTGCTATCTTTGTCCATAACTGACCACGGAGATTTGTTCGGGGTTTAGCTTTAAATGGGTCGACTAAAAGTATCTCCCGGCCCAGCAAAACATCGTGTTCATCTGACCATTCCATCAGATCAGTCGTGTCTGCGACTGCAAAAAATGAAAGAGCTGTCATTTAGCATTTTTTTGTCTTTAGAAAAAAAAACTATGAAAAATATCAATTTACTTGTATAAAAGTGAATAAAAACAAGTTTTAAATACTGATAAATGATACTTACAGCAACTAAAATGACCAAAAAATTTAAAAAAGCGTTCACCTTGTAGCTGGGACGCCAAACTACTTGTTTTCACGTTCTCGACCTTTTCGACGACGCCAGGTCTAAGCCAACGCATGCACAATTACTGCAAACATTGCAAAACTACTTCCGCTTGCCGTCGTAGATTATTGACGTCGTAGATCTTAAGGTCCCTAATATCGCCGCTATTTCGCCGTTTAAAAAGATGTGGTCGTGAATAGGTGCGTTGAAACATCGCAGTTTGCACAGGATTGAATATTTAATATAAGCGCGAATACCAAAGTATAAGACAAAGTGAACGTATCATGCGGTTTATTTCACCCGTTTCGCGTGTTCAAAATCACATATAGTGAAAATTCTAAAATTTAGAACGTCGCATATATGTGACAGATATGATCATCTCAGCAATCTGACGCGGTTGAATCTAAAAGAGCTAGTAACTAGTTAATATGGAGATTAGGAAAGCACTAATTGCGGAAAGCAGAGAGCGATTGCATCCTCTCGTCCCCAGGGCCTAGCTCCGTTGCTCTCCACATAGGCCCTGGGATACGCTGGTTGATCTCCGGTTGTTGTTAAAGGGGATGGACGAGAAGTAGGTGACCGTGAGAGGTCTGGGTCTAGTTGCGTGTTTATTGCGTGTTCCTGGTAAGCGCGATTTTGTAATTTTAGGATATATTCTCAAAGTCAAACTTCACAATTCACAAAGTCAAAGTTTCATTAGGTTCAACTGCACAAATGAAACCAAACGATATTGAAATATTAGAAAGATCTATATGCTATATAATCAAACGACGAACATTTGCGCAAGTATTTATAGGGTAAAATGCAGGATTAATATTTTAACACACAATTAAAGGCGTGTACCGTGCGATATGGGGTTTCAAATGCTTTTATTTTCTGCATGCAGTTAGGGTAATCACCTTTATAATGGTAAAACGATTTGCATTATAGTAAGTGGAAAAAATTATATGTAAAGATTTTAATTACCATAACACCAGTCTTGTCTCCTAAATATATATCTCCCACCCCCATCAGAATATAATTTTTTAAGTTATTAAGTCCTTCCTTCACATAAAAGACAAGTACTTTTGTAACATCTAATGGTTTTCTTTACAATAACACATTCTGTGTATGTATGGCAGTGTGCCAAATCATTTCATAGTTAAATAAATCCACACAAAATAAATAAGCCCCCATTAAGTGGAATGTACCAAAAGCAGGCACAGGAGTACTGTCTGTATAACAATAAGATAGATTTATGAATCTCAGGCTATGGTATGTGGGCAAGTAGTCCCTCTTTTCTCCAAAGGAGTTAATTAAAAATGAAATGCATCCTGGGGTCATTAAAGATTGAGGCATTAGAGTTATTGGTTACTATTATTAGCCTTTATTTCAGGCAGGAGACTTCTATTCCCATCTTTCCCCAGAAAATGTTTTTTACTTTTCACACAAAAATTGCTAATATAACTATGCTGGTGTACATTAATTATTTAATTATGAGGTTACATGTCTGTAATTAGTATAACAAAAGAAACATTGTTCAATAGAAACCTTGTTCAATGACAATTTGTGATTTTAAGAAGAAATAAAGTTGAATAAATTTAATGTTGTGTGTGTAAATCTTTTCAACACAGTATATAATTAGCAACATTTTTATTATCTGATTTACAATGTGAGCTTAATATTTCGCCCAAGGGGGACTACATGGCCACATACCTTAGCCTGAGACTCATAAATCTTTGTTATTGTACACAGATAGTACTCCTGTACCTGCTTGTTGGCGCATTCCACTGGATACTGTTGAAAAATGTTTTTCTTCTAACTGCATGCAGAAAAAATAGGTACGCTAAGCGTACATGTATCTGCGAGGTGCGAATGGTGGGATCGAACATGCGATGGAGAAAAGTGAAAAACTGAGATATGCAAAACTAGAGTACAGTTCAAACGTACTGTCTATAAGCATGTAATTTTGGTACTACAAAGCAACAAGAATTGAATGATTTATAAAAGTATCAGTCTGAGTTGATAATACAATTAATTGTTTTTCTGAAACTTTCACTTGAGGTTTCGTTCAAAAGTTTTGATATAAGTAATGTTAATTTTTCTACTTTGGTTAAATTTATCATATGAGAGATGACAAAAGTATAATTTTAATTTTAATAGAAGATGTAGATAAGATATATGATGTACAGATAATTAAATGGGGAAGAAGACATGATAGGAACACCAGAACAGCAACTAACTAATTACAGCAGGTACCAGGATCTGTGATATAAATTCTTGCAGAAACTAATTCGACAACATAAAAATTTAATGAAACTTTATGATGTCATTGTTGTTGTTTAGATAATTAATGATGTAAAACGAACTATTTGGTAATTCAGGAAAACAACACTCTGTCCAGTATGTAAATTCCTCTATGAACGTTTACATAATACTGTGAAACTATGAAACAACTTTATAACAACATATAAACATTGCTATATTATAAATTGTATTTTTGCATATATGGCTTTTGCAAAGAAACAGATAATTCCTTATGCATATGTTATACAACAGAGCTTACAGAAACTGAACAAATATTACACACAATGGCTGGGATGACCAAAGTGCTAGTTTAGTGGTAGCTTGATAAAGTAATCTACAACTTCAATTCCTAACAAAGATACCAACTTACCATATCCTAAGACTACATTATAGCACACAAAAAGTTAACTTGCGAATGATGTTTATTGCAACAGTTGTTGTTTAGATAATTAATGATGTAAAACGAACTATTTGGTAATTCAGGAAAACAACACTTTGTCCAGTATGTAAATTCCTCTATGAACGTTTACATAATACTGTGAAACTATGAAACAACTTTATAACAACATATACAGACAGTATCATGTACATGTGAATGTGAAAGTCCAGCTGTCATTATGTCTAATATAAAAATAATATTGAAAACATAGATCCATTGAACACAGCGCTTAATTTGTATACTTCACAAAACACTTCATATAACTTTATACTTCATATAACTTTATGATACTTGCTCTTGTTTCAAGGTACTTGAAAAACACTGTAAGATCCAAGAATATGTCGTAAACAACAGCGAAGTATAAAGCGAACATCCTACTAAAAACTGACAATTCAGCTAGGCTATTTACCTTAAGAAAACTTCGTCCAAACAAATTGAATCTGAAATAAACATCGACTCCTCGTATCCGCCATTTTGTAAATCTAGCCTGCGAACAGGCTTGGTGTGCAATTACGTAATTTGTGGGAATATTAGTCGCTGATTGGCTACAAGTTAACAGCTAACAGTTAACAGTTACACAGTCGATAGCAATATATCTGCGTTAGCGCAGATACAAAAAGCATTTGAGACCCATATCGATCGCACGGTACATGCCTTTGTACATTTCCTACATTTACCCTATAAATACTTGCGTAAATGTTCGATTATATAGCATATAGATCTTTCTAATATTTCAACATCGTTTGGTTTCATTTGTGCAGTTGGACCTAAATGAATCTTTGACTTTGTGAAGTTTGACTTTGAAAATATATCCCAAAATAACAAAATTTCCATTCATTAAGATGTTCTTGCGCCTACCACGAACACGCAATAAACACGCAACTATACCCAGACCTCTCTCCGTTACCTACCTCTCGTCCATCCCCTTTAGCAACAACCGTTGATCTCACTGATTGATCTCCTTCGTAATTCCGACGAAAAGGCTAGGTCGCATAGAATAGAATCAGGCAAAAATATTAAGAAAACCATAGCGGCCCAGAACTGATCTCGCTAATTTCGCTGACCTCTCGCGACGCTCATGTTGTCTGAACAGTCTTATATTATGACATATAATGTCATAATATATTATGTCATAATGTAAAGACTGTTCAGACAACATGAGCGTCGCGCGAGGTCAGCGAAATTACCGAGATCAGTTCTGGGCCGCCTATGAGAAAACATGGCGAGCGCTAAAAATGCAAATGCATGTATTGATGAAACCTTGCTTCAAGAAGCTATAAATTTTTCCCTAACCAAGATTTAGATCAATTTTTCACTAACATAACATTGAAAAAGGAGGAAAAGACGCTATTCGTCATGTTATTAATGGAAGAGAAGTAATCGCCGTCCTACCGACGCCGACGGGTTTGCCGTATCGTGACTTTGGTCTGGAAAATCTCCAATATACCAACTTTTGCCACCTTTATTCGACTTCGTTAAAGCGAAGAGAAGCAATGTTTCTGCCGTATGACCAGAAACAATCGTTATTGTAATTTCCCCATTAAACGCTCTTATGGTCGATCAAATCGAGAAAGTAACAACTGTTATGGGTGTAAAAGCAGAATTGGTTAAATTGAAAATAGAAAGCTGATTGGCTCTTTTTAAACGACAGCCAATCAGCTTTCTATTTTCAATTTAAAAATAAGACGAAGGTATAGGCAAGGTGTCCCCAGCATAGGTTTTGAAATATATTTGCCACAAACCCAAAAAACATTCACGTTTTATACATGCATAGGAATACATTTAAATGCTAAAAATATAGTATAAATGTAGTAAAATTATTCAACTTTTTTTTTCCTATTCGCCATATTTTCATGAAATATTTGCGGTTTTGTGAAGGTGTTTGAGTTAACCGTCGTGCGTTTTTAGCTTATTTGGCGTGAGAGTCGCCTAGCTACCTTGTCATAATATAAGACTGTTCAGACAACATGAGCGTCGCGCGAGATCAGCGAGATCAGTACTGGGCCGCCAATGATCAAATCAATGAAATCACTTGGCGTTGACTTCGATAGCTGTTTTATGGCATATTTAACCAAGTGATTAACACATTTACTAACAAACACAAAGAGCACTACTTAAATGGAACTATTACTCACAAAAGATAACCTTAATTTTTAAGAAGTCCCATTCAACTTCACAAATGGAAGCAACCCGACCGAAAACCCCACCGAAAACCCAACCGACCCCCAGAATATGTCGATTGATAACCCTGACAACACAACCCCCATCCTTGACACTAACCCATGCCCAATCCAACCCAACCCCCCACCCTCACCTGACATGTCTGACGAACAGATAGATGAATTTTTACGGACTGACGACGGAGACATAACAGACTTGGACACCTCCCTTATTTCTGGCCACAAATTGATCATATCCGATCAGGAAACTGATTCAATAATAGAAGGCCTACATAAAGAAAAACAAAAAATTTTAAAATAGAAGACGAAAACCCAGAGACAAACAACACACCCCAAATCACAACAAACCCCCAAACCACAACCAACACCACACCATACAATGACCAACAACAATCCATTCCCAACCCCAACAACATACCACCACACCTCCTGGAAACATTCCGCATTGTTAGCAGACAGAAAACCAAATCATCGAAACTCAAATGCACACTTGACGAACTGGAACAACACGTACAAAAAAGCAAAGACACTACCCCCTAGACTACAAATCACACACAAAAGCAAACACTACCTAAAGAAAGACCTACGACAAAGATGGGAAGACATCTTAATGAATGCCTCACAAGAACTACTGACTGTAACCATTGACTATCACAAACAGGAAATAACAAACACAGAGTTTAAAATACAACATAAATCTGCACAAATCAACAACAAATGTGACACAACGACTGCCAACAACATACTACAACAAACCGACGCCATTGCAACTAAATACACAAAACAAGCTTGCCTAGCACCATCCCACAATCGCAACATAAAACTTAAACGACTTAACAACACAAATACCAGAATCACTCCAACAACCTCCTCACTCCATAGGACACCATACAGAACAACCAGCCAACCAACCAACAAACCCACACACACACACCGTCCAACCGACGCAAACCAAAACCCCTCATGGAAACCCACACCCCACACCACCACAAACCCGGAACAACTAGCACAACAACAGTAACAAGAACACCACAACTTCGAATACCAACCCACTATAGACAACTTAATAACAACAGACACCAAACCCATCAACAAAACAACAATCAGCAACAATCAGCACCTCACATAAACATTCCATCTCACTTGAACTACAACACACAACAACAAATCCTGGATTTTCTAAGACGCAACAAACCCACACACCACAAATAACGAAAAAACCACTAAAACTCAACACAGACACAAACAATTACAACAAACGAAACATCCTAAAATATTTGAAAACACAGCGGAATACAAATAACAACAGACACAAAAGCAAAAATAAACTACATAAAAAACTCAAATATAACTCCCAACACAATACTATTGTCAACCTCTCTAACAAACCCATCTCACATGAAGCACAAAAAACCCTGTCGAAAGGTCTTACCTTTGTCCCGACACCCAAACACACACCATACAAGACCATATATGACTCTTTTCTGAAATATAAAAAAAGCATGTACAATAAATATTTCTTCAGAAACAGAAAGGGCACTAAAAAACATCCATTTAAACTACCCAGTAACTTCACAGCACCAAACCCCGACAACAGCAACCTGTTAGAATACATATCAAATGTACTCTACGATCTCAAAACTGAATTTGGAACACAAAAACAAACTACAAAAACCAACATATCCTCACAAAGCCTCAAAACCATCCATGATCTGAAAAAGGATAATGATATAATAATCAAACCAGCAGACAAAGGAGGAGCCATTGTGATATGGCCAATGGAAGATTATCATACTGAGGCATATAGACAACTTCATAATGCGAAACACTACCAGAAACTAACACATGACCCGACCCCTGAAATTTTAACTGAAACCAAAACCCTAGCACACAAACTTCACAAATCTAGGGCCATTGACAACACAACATTTAAATATCTCACAACTGACAATCAAGCTAGGACACCAAAACTATACCTTTTACCCAAAATACACAAAACTAACATTCCAGGTCGACCTATTATCTCCGGTTGTGGTGGACCTACAGTCGAGCTTTCTCAATTAATATGCTGACCATCTACTCAAACCACTTCTACAACACATACCATCATATGTCTCGGACACTACAAACTTTCTATGCCGGATATTTGCTCAGAATAACACACTACCAGACAAGTTCATACTTATTACTATTGACGTAAGAAGTCTCTATACCAACATACCTAATTATCAAGGCATCGAAGCCTGTATAGACATGTTGAAAGAAATCAACACAATTACCCCTGAAATGGAGAAACTAGTTCATGACATCCTATCCCTTGTACTTTAGAAGAACGCCTTTGCTTTTAACAACGAACACTTCTTACAAATTCACGGCACTGTTATGGGATCACCAATGGCACCTACCTATGCAAACATATTCATGGCAGCACTGGAGCAGGAGCTCCTCCAACAAGCTCCTGAAAATCTTATACCTATTGAATGGATAACATTTATAAATGAAATATTTGCAAATTGGACTCATAGCACTGACAAACTGAAAAATTCCTTAAATACATAAACAATTTTCATCCTACCATCAAATTTGACTTTTCCTTCTCTAAGGAATCTGTCAACTTCCTTGACACAACTATCTACAAAAACAAAAACAACAAACTGGAATCAGACCTGTACATTAAACCAACTGACAAAACCCTTCTACTACACAAAAGCTCATTTCACCCCACCACATGCAAGAATGCAGTCATCTACAGTCAGGCACTACGATACAGACGCATAATTACAGACAACAACAAATCACAACAACGACTAAACCACCTCCTGATTGCACTGATCCATCGCGGATATGACCATGACACCATCACCACTTACTTCAACAAAGCCCTACAATACACTCAAACAGACCTACTCAATAGGAAACAAAACCAGAAAAACACAAGCCGCCTAATTTTCTCCATTCCATACAACACAAACACAAAATACATTGCAAACATATTACGTAAACACTGGAACATATTGGAGAATGACCCCACACTGAGGAGTCTATGGCAAGAACCTCTAATTGTAACCTACGAACGCAATACTAACCTGAGAGACACGCTTATCACAGCAAAACTTAATACCAGACACAACACTAACCAAACATAACAACATCCCATAACCCAAGTCACCCAAGTCACCCAAGTCTTCCATCAACCCCAAACCTAACCAACACAAGCCAAAAACCTCCACACCACCCTGAACACAGAGATTATGTCTGAATACCAACTTGAAAACACCAGAGTGGATATAAAAAACCAAGGAGCTTACTGTGACACATTGGGTTACAAGTGAGAACATGCAAGAAACACATGACAAGCAAACCTTGCGGCACTCTCCTGTGAAAACAACAAAACTACATGACCTTAACCAGTCGCCTCAAATCTGGCATCCTGGGCATCCTGCTGACATTAAATTATAAAAAATGTCCTTAGCAGAATTAGGCCATAAATGTGACCAGAAGCCTGAACAAAACCTAAATGTTCTACCACACGGATTAAATACACTTTTCAAATCAAACCACATGAACATGGTCACGGGTAATATAGTCACGTCCAACAATCCTAATGTAATATAATGTACAATCCATATGCTGTATATAATTATAGTAGTTCAAACGCATGACAACGTCCACATCGACTTCGAATTACCGATGATAATTCAAACACCAACTAAATAATGATATCTATATACCTACAACCTTACATTCACAATTATATGCACGTTTTACAAGCTTATTATAAAACTTCAAAATACATACAAACCTCAAAAACCTTGACTACCTCAAATTGATAACCCTATTCACGATTGAAACACTAACGGTTGATGCATCGCCGAACATCGACCCACGGAAGCTTTTAGGACCGATGTCACGGTCTCGGCATTCCCCCAGTCTGAGTTATCCCCTTTGACTATCTGCGCATGTGCGTAAACAGCGGACCGCTGGGCACGTAGCTAGCTAGCCTGAACGCTCCCCAGTCTGAGTTATCCCTGTCTATATTTCTGTTTATTAGCAAAAAAAAGACTTTAAAAGTATTCTAATGAAGGCACTTCAGTATTACATGTGGTGAGTCTGCTAAATATCATATTATTTCTTAAAAAATGTGATCACTTCTTTATATTTTTTAAAAGACATAATTCAGACTGGACAGACAGACAGTATAGACACTGGTCTGAATTCTCCCCAGTCGGGAGTATCCTCTGTTTTTATAAATTCTTACTGACATAACAGGAATATTAAAAGTAGTGTGATAAAATTATAAGAGAAGAGGCACCAGGCTGGGGAGCATTTAGACTAGTTTCAATACTCCCCAGTCTGAGTTATCCCAATAAAAGTTTATAACAGGGGATACTTCAGACTAGGAAGCATGTTTTCAGACCAGTCTCAATACTCCCCAGTCTGATTTATCGCAATAAAGTTTATAACTGGGGATACCTCAGACTGGAAAACATTCAGATCAGTGTCTATACTGTTCAATCTGAATTATCTTTTGAAAAATATAAAGCGATCATATTTTTAGGAAATAATATGATATTTAACAGCCTTACCATAACTATTGTGCCTTCATCATTTTAAACTTTTATTGAACTTTTACTCAGATTGGGGAGTACTGCATCTGGTCTGAATGCTCCCCAGTCTGGGGTATCTGCAATTACTATTTTTTCAAATCACTTCAGAACTATATTGCATTTCCATCAATGATCATTAAAATAAGTTAATTTTACATCAATTTACTTAAATCTACAAATATATAATATTTACAAATATATGTTATTTACAAATATATAATATTTACAAATATATATAATATTCACAAACTTGCGCTTTACTAAACTATTTACAGTTCATGCAATGAAAACAGGTATTTTCATAAATTGACCTTCTGCATATGGCATCCTGCAATGGCAGAATAGTTCTTCGGACTCTTCAAATCTCTCGTTAAACAAAATGTTTGACCATGTTGATGGAAACAAAGCCAATTCATCACACATGATGCACATGGCTAAGTATTCTCTCATAACACTTTGATCATAGCTTTGCTCACTTGGATTCTGATCATTGCACAAAGTTACTGCAACTGCAGTAGCAAAAAGACCACAATCTGATGTGCCGTCTTGTTTCTGCATTCTCGGCCATTAAATGACCATTTCAGAGAAGGTGGTGCTGAGCAGGGCTGCCAATTTCATTTTGTCATTTGATGACATTTCTCGATAAAGTGAGTCGTAAACTTTAATTTTGTTCTCTTCACACCCAATGTTGGTGACGGTCACCCAATGTGTTCCTCCTGAATTAAAAATCTGAATAAATCCTTTCATGCCAATACCGAGTGAAGACCTGTTACTGCTGGGAACTGCCTGGATATTAACCATTGTATGTGGTCGATATGTTCATCAGTCAGCCAGTAATTTTGCTGCATTATTGTTAAAGCCAGCTTTCTAGGATTAGCATTTGCAGCACATTGCAAAACGTCGCAATTTCGACCTTTTTTAAACTTGGTGTTACGAACTTTTTTTGACTTGGTGCTTTTACCATTTGACACTTTGTTGGTTAGCGGCATGTTGTCCTCTTTTGGTGACATGGGGTTACCAGTTGGTGGAGTGGTGTCACCAGTCAATGGTGTGGTGTTATCGGTTGGTGGGGTGGGGCCATCAGTCTGTGGTGTGGTGTTATCGGCTGGTGATGTGGGGCCATCAGTCAATGGTGTGGTGTTATCGGTTGGTGGTGTGGGGCCATCAGTCTGTAGTGTGGTGTTATCGGATGGTGATGTGGGGCCATCAGTCAATGGTGTGGTGTTATCGGTTGGTGGTGTGGGGCCATCAGTCTGTAGTGTGGTGTTATCGGATGGTGATGTGGGGCCATCAGTCAATGGTGTGGTGTTATCGGTTGGTGGGGTGGGGCCATCAGTCTGTAGTGTGGTGTTATCGGCTGGTGATGTGGGGCCATCAGTCAATGGTGTGGTGTTATCAGTTGGTGGTGTGGGGCCATCAGTCTGTAGTGTGGTGCTATCGGATGGTGATGTGGGGCCATCAGTCAATGGTGTGGTGTTATTGGCTGGTGATGTGGGGCCATCAGTCATCAGGGCTCGAATTGTAACAACTGTTACACTCATCTAAACTTACATATTCTTGGACATCCTCTTTCATTCCATTCCAACAATAAAAATTTGAAATTTTGTTCAATGTAGCATTGACACCACTATGTCCTCCCATAGCATTGCTATGCATGGTGATGATGCAATATTTCCGAAATTTCTTCCAAGCTAAGGACAACCTTCTTTCGGATCCCAACTTCCCCACCAGTGTAATGTAGCTCATTATCTGAAATGAATTGTAATATAGCCTATTAATCTCTAATGTGCTCCAGTGCATCCAACTTATTCTTTTTTTACAAACACCTGACAAGCTCTTTTTTATAGTAATATCCAGTCTACAGTAGAAAAAGTCAGTGTATTGTATAAAAAGTCTTGCAACAAACTGCAAAGTACCCAACCTTTTACAACTATCTATAAAAGCCAGCGAGAGTCATAAACAATGCAATGTAAACAAAATGAGCAAGTATATTTATAAGCTGAAACTCCAAGTCTATTTTCAATCATTCAACCCAGACTTAGCCCATAAAACATTCACCCATATTCTATATTTTATAATAATCTATCAGGAAAATTGACTGATTAACCCCCTAAGGTTATTGAGCTTGATACTACGCCAGTACGAGCGTGAGTGAATCAGAATGGCGATATCATTTGACTGTTCTAGTTACACTAATAACTCATAACCAATAACTCATAACTTAACTTTAGATTCAATACTATATGAATACTTACTTGTCTCATCCAGAACATAGTTCTTAGCTTGACCACGAACAACACGCTGCTGGTTCTTCGACAAACCAGCTTGATGCTTTCCATGGCGCAGGTAGTGCACAATGCGCTCACATTTCTCGCTTTGCTCAGCGAGACGTTCTTTTCTAGTCAACTTTTGAGGTTCAACACTTCTAGGTTCCTCATGTGGCGCCATTTTTTAACATTAAACGCAAAATTGCAAGTGTTTCAAACGACTTTCGATAGAAGTTGTAGCGCAGACGAGCAGCGAAGTAGAAGGGGAGATCTCAGACCACGAGGAATGTCTGTTACGCAACACCTCTGCCGTGCGCATGCGCATTGTAATAGAGAAATGTTGAGACCGGGGGAGTATTGAGACTGCTACACCGGGGTAGTTTTCTACCCACAGATGACGATATTGCACTGTAATTCTGTAATTCCTCGCCAAAAATGCAAAACACTTCAACCATAATGGTATTAATTCATGACTAGAGTAGTGACTACGGTGATAAAATGAAACTTTAACAATTATAACCAACCATACTACATGAAGTACAACCCACGACCAAAACACACTTAAGCCTCGGAAGTCCACACACAACCATAATTGACACGTAAACCCACTATCCCCAACACAGACTTTGAGGTAATAATTCCATGTTCAGTATACACCAATATACATACAACACCCTTTTTTAAACATCTATTGTATCATATCATAACATTAAGCATCATACTATATCACACCGTATCATATTGCATCATATATATCGTACTATATATATCATACCGTATCATACCGTGTCACACTGCATCAAATTGCATCATACTATATCATACTGTATCATATTGTATCATAGTGCATCATATTATGTCATATCGTATAATATAGCATCATATAGTATCATACAATATCATCAGTACCGTGTCATACCGTATCATATAGCATTATTACTAATACACAATAATATATCAATACCCTCAACAAAAACAATTTTAAACCAGAGAGGTGCTGAAATCACCTAACGCTCGCCTGCACTGTTTGTCTAGAATAAGGCTAAACTCTGTATGAAAGGTATCTGTATGAAGCACAAATTACCGATCTTTTCGTTACAAATTATAAGGCTAAAATCCGCGTTGGAAGGTAATATTAAGCACAAACTTCAGATATTAGTTGTGACCTCAGAATTACTGGCCAAAACTGGCCTCGGAATTACATTAGTTTTATTTGTGACCAATATTTCTTCCGTTTCTCGCAATCCGCGCACGCGATATCAACAGGTAAGTTAACGGACCAGGCAAAAGTCCCTGCTTTAGCCGGGCGCCCATTCAGGTTTAGACCAATAGGCAGCCCTTGCCAATGCCCAGACTGCCCAGACATGTTTTCCTTCTCGCGGCGCTCGCGCCTCGCGCGTGTATAGATCGCCAGTCGCCACATTTATCCACATAAACATAAAACTTCCATCTAGACAATCTAGACAGGAATCGGCAGACTAAAATCTTCGTGTGTGCGCGTAGCTTTATGAAATAAAAAAGATTGGATTTTTATATCTACACAAAAAAGGATTATGCATCAAACAACGAAAAAGTATGTACATAAATCTTATAGGTAGTTCAAAGGGTCCTGTCTACAATTTAACTGGCTTTAATAATATATTTGCATGTGTATCTACATAAATAATATGCAAATATATGTCACATGCGTTGCCATTTGCCTTTGCATTCCGAGCCTATCGGCTTTCTACTTATAAATACTTATGTGCTAAAGCTTGTAATTGCGAATTATCTGACAATATTCTTTAAACTTTAACGTTGGACTATGTTTTATATATATTCACTCCCTGAATGATTTCTATATTAAGCGATTGAATTTTGATACGGCATGTCACAACACAATCTCATAATTTATAATTGTACATGTACAATACAAACAAATGGTAGCATACAGGTGAAAATATTTGAAAGTTTCTCATTTGGCTTAGGGTTGTACAAATACTTTCGTTAAATATGATTCAGCTACAACTTTGAACTAAAAAAACAGGGCTACACAATAGCCCTGAAAATCGTAATGAGCGTGATAACTCTGGATAACTCTAACATTGACCTTATCATGATGCTGATAAGCTTAACATTTGCCTTATCATTTGATAATTTTGAGCAAAGCTCTCTTTATTATTGTATAAATGTGTACCAAATGGCACTGAATAGTCACAATGCATATCGATGACTTATATTTATGATGATTCCTCTGATGTAAAGCCATAATATTTAAAAAATATAGCATCTTAACATTGACCTTATCATTATGCTAATTAGCTTAACATTCACCTTATCATTTGATAATTTTGAACAAAATTCCCATTATTTTTGTGTAAATGTGTACTAAATGTCACCATATAGTCACAAGACATATCAATGAGCTATATTTATGATGAATCTTCTGATGCAAAGCCATAATATTTAAAAAATATAACATCTTAACATTGACCTTATCATTATGCTAATTAGCTTAACATTCACCTTATCATTTGATAATTTTGAGCAAAACTCTCTTTATTATTGTATAAATGTGTACCAAATGGCACTAAATAGTCACAATGCATATTGATGACTTATATTGATAATGATTCCTCTGATGTAAAGCCAAAGTATAGAAAAATATAGCATTTTAACATTGACCTTATCATTATTTTTGTTGTATAATGTTCACTCCCCCCTGGTAAATGGTTCTTTTGCAACAAATAGACTCCTTAAGTAGATAAGTTGAAAATAATGGGAAAATATAAGTGGCATCTTAACATTCTACTTATCATGTAGTCTGGACGCGGACGGGGACGGGGACGGGGACGGGGACGGGACGGGGACGGGGACGGACGGGACGGGGACGGGGACGGGGACGGGGACGGGGACGGGGACGGGGACGGGACGGGGACGGGGACGGGGACGGGGACGGGAGGGACGGGGACGGGGACGGGGACGGGACGGGGACGGGGACGGGACGGGACGGGGACGGGGACGGGGACGGGGACGGGGGGGACGGGGACGGGACGGGGGACGGGGACGGGGACGGGGACGGGGACGGGGACGCGGACGCCAAGACTATAGCAATAGCTCTCTTGCACTAAAGTGCAGGCGAGCTAAAAACAATAATTTGAAAATCATATTACCTCTTGTATCCTACATAATTCATTGTCCACCCATAACTTATCTATCTAAGAATCAGCTTATCTTAACAAAACAATATAATTACTCCGGCGTCAGCGACAAAGTTGAAAATTCGCCACGGTTTCGTTTTGTTTTTTTTTTGTTTTTTTTTATTTTTCGTCGTCGCAAGTCTGAAACGGCGCGAAACATTCTAGTAATTAAACTGTGTATTTGACTGTATTTATCTACGTCCCAGTCTTATCTCCTAAAAGTTGTGGTGCACAGCTTTGGCTAATTTTCCGATGCGCGATTCGATTTCGCTCGCATGATACGGCAATTCCTTCAAGAGGAACAAATAAACCGTTGTTTTCATGCTCTTCGATTAAGTTTAGATAGAATTGGAGTAAGAATATATTTAATACATGTAGATTCTGGTCCTATTTTAATAATATCGCTGCTATTTCGCCGTTTAACAAGATGATGTGGTCGTGTATGGGCGCGTTGACACGTCGTAGTTTGCACAGGATTGAAGATATAATATAATTATATTAAAGCGCGAATTCCAAAGGCTAAGTGTAAGGCAAAGCGAATGTATCATGCGGTTTGTTTACATTTTCGAACAATTGAACTTCTATACTTTTTAAAGTAGGATGTGCTGCTGAATTTCGCGATCGAACATTTACCTTCGTAAGGCATTTAATGCGAATATGATCTGTATTGTTTATGTTCAGAAGCTCTATATTAAAGACTGGCACGTGTGCCGGAGTTAACGCCAGAACAGGCGTCTTGTTATTTTACAAATCTTTTAAACTAGCACCAGTAATATTGTATCTATTGCAGCCTTTATATAGTTCCATGGGCCAAAAGAACCACCTAGTTTTAAGCATTTTTATCTGATATTTTGTACAAATTTACCAGTTCAACAGTTGTTTTATTTCTTGAATCATAAATTACTGTAAATTTCGATCTCTAAACCAATTAACATATCCCTTAAATCTTCTTCGTCAATAGACTCGGCTTTTTTGCCAAGTGACTTAAAAATGTGACAAACAAATTGACTTCGTTATAACTGTATTCAACCAGCTAACTATAGGGCGTTTATTCCCTTGTCTATGGCATTAGAACATAAGACTAGAAAATAATAT